TTCCGATAACCCCTGAAGAATTTCACGTGGTCTTTTGGCCTCAGACGTTCAGGAATCACAACATTTAAGTTACTCTCAATTCAGTAAACTCTCTTAAGAGCAGCTCTGGATCATAATCAGAAAGCACCGTACACCACTGTGTGAGAGAAATGTCACCCCCTTGGACACTAATCTGACATTTCTTCATGAGCAGTAATCCCAAAATGGCACCTAAAATAGCATCAACTCAGCAGAAACACTGCCTTTTTCTATTTTTTCCTTCTCAAGCTTTCCAGTGCTATTCTTGTTCATCTTAACAAGCGTGTAAAACTGAACGCTGACCATTGAAACATTGGTATTCTTGCCCACATCACTACGGATAAATTCAGCAGAAGCAGCTGCTTGCTCCGTAGCTGTGGGAAGTTTGGGTCTGGGACTGGAACCAATATTCAGCGCTGTTGTACTGTTATTGGAGATAAACATTTGGTTAGAAGTTTGCAAATTAAGCAAGCTTTTCTCAATGTTTGGATGGCTTCTTTTAGGTTGTTCTAGATAAAGAAAAGCAAGATATGGCCTACAGTCAACAAAGGCAGCGCGACAGCAACAGCTTTGACTATGGAAGTTACCACTCTCTGGATTCTGTGAGTACCTCAGCTTTGGGGGAAGAGGATTCTTTTTCCTGACCTTTTTTCGTGCTGTCTTCAATTAAACATCCTATATTAGGATCTGAAATATCTTCGCAGTTTCTTTTGGGACTTGGTTTTGGTTTTAAAAGTATTGATTTTGTGGTCAGCACAATGAGCCAGCATTCTCCCTGTGGAGATTTTTGGAACAGACAATTGTTGATCACACTTTTCCACAAACTCTTCTGCAGAATTCTGTCAAAACCCTTCCTTCTGACCCTCAGAAGAGATTGAGAGAGAAATTAATCTTGAAATAGGGCAATGTAGGAGACCAGTATCCATCAAGCAGAGCAGAGGGTAAGGTGCTTTTACTGCCTTTAAGAAGTGCTTAAAGAAGGTTTGAAACTTATTCCTGAAAAAAAGTAGATCTTGACACTATAGCAGTGCTTCCTTCTACTTTGTGATGTCAGGAACAGCACCGACTACACTGGTGTAAGGTGAGATGGGGCTTCGGAGAGGTCGTGGTAATGAAGGCAAAAGGAGAGAAAAGTAGATTTCATCAGGTCCTGCAATTGTTCTGGGCAGTTCTATACAGAAATGTAAAGTAAATGTCATTGTGACTTTTCATTTCAGATTTATGCAGAACTGGATAATCTTGCATCTGAGTATAGCGACATTGTCAGTAAGCTCCAGATTGGGGAATCCTATGAAAAGCGGCCTTTGTATGTGCTCAAGGTACGACATCCATCACAGAGGGTGTGCCTAGGTACATGTATACATATACTGATATACATATGTGTTATAGATACAGCACAATTCAGTCCAAAGCATCCCAGTTGATACAGGATGTTCCTGTCTAAAAGGTGTCAGTGAGCGTTTTAAAACTTTCTGGTTTGTTTGACAGTTCAGCACTGGAGGAAGCAACCGTCCTGCAATCTGGCTTGATGCTGGCATCCATTCCCGAGAGTGGATTACCCAAGCAAGTGCCATATGGATAGCTAAAAAGGTCGCTTCAGCAGTGATTGATTTTTCTTTTATCTTGGGAATGCCTCTGGCTATTTAAAAGTATATAGCACCCGTATGTGTTTAGCCAGCTCTGCTACCTCTCCTTCACCCCTCTTAAAACACAGCCGACTCCAGAGAGAAAGCAGCAGCTGCCTAGACAAAGAATTGAAAAGTGCTGTGGATTCTTAGGAATCTTGGGAGATGTTTAGGTGGACAAAATGTAGTACTTCAGGTGAGAGAGTCCAGTGGAGGGCTATGAGGGTGATGAGGGGACTGGAGCATCTCTCCTACGAGGAGAGGCTGAGGGAGCTGGGCTTGTTCAGCCTGAAGAAGAGAAGGCTGAGATGGGACCTTTGAAATGCCTCTAAATATCTGCAGGGTGGGTGTCAGGAGGATGGGGCCAGACTCTTTCCAGTGGTGCCCAGCGACAGGACAAGGGGCAACGGGCACAAACTGAAGCAGAGGAAGTTCCAGCTGAACA